CACCACCACCACCACCACCACTGCCTTACCAACCAGCTAACTAACTAGATAACTAACTAACTAGCTAATGATATTGTCTTGCGCCTACTGCCGCTAGCATTACCGCCAAAGCTAGCATCATTGTTAGGTCCACTCTGCTTTGGCATTGTTCTCAGTCTTTCGCAGGGACACCTTCAACACGTTGGTCAGAGCCGACACGCTTCAAGCAGGCCAGGACCAAATCCAATCCAACGCTCAGATCAAGCTGCCGGAAGGATTCTTTTCTCAGGCTAGAAATCTTTAGATACCCCATACTATAATCCCTATATAGCCCCTATATGACCCGTAGTGTACGATTAGTATGGGGTTGCCTTCAATGCGCCGGCCACGTAGCCGAAAGGCCTGCAACCAATTGTGCCAATATGTCCACGTCCTTGGACGTTTGATTTCAGGAACTCAGAGGTTCAATTGCAGTTGCGAATGGACTGGGGGGCCTGTGGCAATCATGACGAGCGAAGTCGAGCAGCCATTCTGTTACCAGTACTGGTGTGTAGTATGGCATGGAGGAGGGAACCCCTGTTGTAATCCTAATCTCATATGGCTTATAGCCGTACCTAGAACCCACTCCTGCAGTCCGTAGCAATTACCAGTAAACTCTGACTGGGAGATCTTGAGTCAGAGACGTTTGTGAGCGACTGCCGCTGCCTGCAGAGGCAGCAAAGAGCTGAACTTGGATTCCAGGCTTCGCCCGGCAAGTTTTCAGACGTCAAGCGGATCCTAAAACCAGTGGCGTTGGTAGTCTTGTGTGGTTTCTTTCGAGACCATCAGAGCTGCCCCCCAAAGGCTTCAGAGCAAGCAGGTATCCCGTGCACTGCAGACGCGCTTCATCATGGGAGGCCTTCCCTGGACTGGCGACTGCTAAGCCTCCTACGCCACCTTTGCAACTTGATATCATAAGACCTCACGCATCACAACTTCACACCTGCTAGCTTGCCAAAGGCTCCAGATGCCGAGACACTCAGCGCATCCGAGAAGATCCAAAATTGAATAAGGCCGCGAACTGCCTTGCTGCTTTCAGTGCCCGGCCACAGATGCCCCTGCCTGCAAATCTGGGATGTTGGTTGCAGGAGACTGACCACCTTCAAACCTGCGCGGAGCCTGGAACTCTCGTAGTAATGTCTCCTTCAAAGTCGGTCGCAACATGCCAGAAGTCTGAAAGTCCTGGCACTGCTCCTGACAGATTTTTCGCATCAGACAGCTTAGGCTTCAGGGCAGCAGCAGGGCGGTTGCATTGTTTCGCGCAAAGACCTCAGCTTCGCCAGCCTTGTTGGTGTGCTGTTAAACTCTCACCACCGAGGTTGGGAAGAAACAGAGCAGCTGACAGCTCTGGCATCTCGACTGCAATGGTAGGGAGGCCTATTTGTGTAAGTAGCTTTCTCTTTGTGTGAATTTGTCTGTTTCGCAGGCTTCTCCATATGTAAGCTAAGCCTTTGCATGGAGTCAGCTAAGCTAGCCAAAACCCTAAAAGAGATCACCTCAATGGCATTTGCCATCTCAGAAAGGAAATCCTGAGTTGTCGTTGCATCCCTTCATTAACGACTGAATGCCAGCAGAACATGCCTAGCTGGCCAAGTGACGAAAGGTTTTGCACCATATGGACACACTGGCGAGGCTGGAAAATTCCGCGTTGAGCGATATCGTAGCTGAAGCCATGTTCCTGAGATGAAATGACTACAACACTTGGCTGATGTCAGTCTTCCGTGTCCTGCAGGAATTCTTTGATTCCTTGAAGAGTCAGATGCCTATGTCCAAGGAGCTTGGGCCCCAGTTGTGAGGGGTGCCTGATTCCGCTCCTTGCGCTCAAGTGTGTGGCACATCCGCTTAAAGGCTTTTGATTGAGCAGTTAGTCCAAGTCAACAGCCTTGATCTCCAAGGTTGCAAGACTCCCTGGGAGTCACCATAGATGACGATGAGCTTCATTGCAGCAGTTGCTTCGGGGATATAGCAAGACACAAGATGGCAGAAACAATTCTTGCCAACATCACACTTGAGAAGTTCGGGTCCTAAATTGCGGAGAGCATACCATGCGAAGCCTCGCTGATACCTTGGGATTCTGGACCATTTTTCAGCGCCACACTGTGGGACTGTGACATCCAATCCCGGTTGAAGTAGTAGACCCGAATAGGCACTTACCAGACAGGGAGCCTCATGCTCAAGGGCTCTCCTTTTAGAAACCCCCACTGGAAAATAAAATGGAAACTACTCTAATATGATAGGGTATATGTTGGGGTTATATTGGCTTTTGCCAATCATTTTTTCATTGCAGAGCCAAAAGGGCCCTTGACCTCGGTGTGCAAAGGCTGGATGGCCCGGCATCCAGCTCCTTAGGAGCTGAGTCTGCCTGCTCTTGTTATCAGTATCAGTTGACAACAGCGTTCGTCAGAATCATACATCATTCATCATCATCATCAAGATATTATTTGTCTGAGTTCATGTGTAAGTTTACTGGACACCGTAGATTGACCTCCAAAATGTCAGCCATGGCTGCCGCACATCACGTAAGAAATTTGTCACAGAGACTCCTTGACTCCCACTGACGGTGGTAAGCGGCAAGGACTCAACTCTTTCGAAATCAAGGAGGCGTGGCTCTGATGGACTGAGAACTGATGCATCAGGAAACACACGATAAGACGAGCTTCAGGGCTTGCACGGCAGGAGTGCGAGGGCCCGCTGCAAGTAGATGACGACTCTGACACGGCAATCTGATCAGACGAATTGCAGCGCCGCGAAATAGCTGGTGCTGCACTTCCATGTACATAGTTGCAACATAGTTGCATAGGGCGGGGCCCTCTTGGGAAATTCCCATGGATATCGGTTTGCTGCTTTCCAGAGCAGGAAAGCTACGTCCAAATTATGGCTGCAGCACGTGTTAGGCATGCAGCTTCCATCCAGGCGAGACAAAAGTCGGGACTCAGCTCGCTGGCATTTGTTTGCTTCATGTTGAAATCGGTCAGTGACCACAACTTAGCGCACTTACGTATGTGCCACAAATTCGGCATGCCTCCCGCCGCAATGCTTGTGCATGGCTGCTTGCTGCTCACGACTTCAGCGGGTGTAGTATGCCAGCATGTGAAGTCTGTAGTCAACAGTGATGCATTGCTAGCATTGCGGTGATTAGCAACCCACCTTTCCGTCCTGAATAACCGCTCAGACAGGAGCCACCTACTCGCATAACGCACGCAGCAAACTTCCATTTGTTAGCATTCGCTCCCGTCAAATCCGGGGCTCTGCAAGTGAGCCACAGACGGCGCTTCGGTTAGCTCGGATGTCACATGGCCAGACCTCCGAAGAGTCGATGGAGCATCAAGTGGTCCGACACGCACATCTTCAAGGCAGAGCAAGAAGGCCGGGCTTCAGCTAAGCCAGTGCTAAGCTCACACGCATCTCGGTATCTCTCCAGACTCCAGCAGCTTTCCTTCCTACTAAGTGCCAGTAGTATGGCAGATGGATAGTGCTGCTTCAACATGAAGACCTCTAAGTGAGGGGCGCAAGCCGCTCCCGTGAAGGCAGGCAGCAAGCGGAAGACAGGTTGCAGAAAGGATCTCGTATAGGACATTTGTAAGATCACTCATGTTTAGATACTGGCGTTGCAGCATATCGGTTTCATTGCGTTCCGGAGACATGTTAGCTTCGAAAGGTGACAGCATCTCGCTGAACTGCGTTGAGGTCTCTTGCCGGCGGACTTTTTTTGTGGTCGCAAGCGGATGCATGCGATGCCCATGCAATGCCATCCGAAGAGCTAAGGATTGGTGCAGGACACTTGATGCGCAGCTGGAAGAACGCTTTGGGCCAGCGGTGCCAGCAAAGCTGTCAGCTGCGAGCTTGAACTTTTCACGGTGCAGCCTTGATGATACGGCGCCTTTTCTGCAACAAATCAGCTGAAGCAAGCGGCCTAAAGGTTTTCGTAGCCAATTACACAAGCCCTCACAAAAAGGCAACCACATACACAGTTCAAGACAAGAGGAATCCCGCTGCTGCTTGCAAAAACCTGTCCAAGGCTCTGACCAAGTTGTTGACGTACCTCTACAGCCGCGATATTACTGTTCAGATCCTGAAGCTCTTCAGGCAAGCTAGCAGACGCTTTGCTTTCTGCCTTTTTCTGTACCGTGCACGACAGGGTAGACCTAGCAGTTGGCTTGAGTCCAGCTTTGATTGCAAGGTTGGCTGTTCATTGAAAAGTGTGTGTGTGTGTCTATCTCTATATATATTTATAGAATTACATCTCTCTCTCTCTCTCTCTCTCCGCGCGTTTAACAGCTATAGAGTGCATGCACATGCGGAGATGCAGCTGTTGTAAAAACGGCTTGCATTAAGAAAGATGAAGAATCCATGCGAGCCCATGCTGGGAAGTCTAGAAGGCAGCTAACAGTAGTCTACCTGCTGCATCATGCGCATCCATTCCCTGTTGCGGGCGAGAAAGGCTGTTCTAAACTAGACCGCTATCCTTACCCGGATTGAGGGATAGCCAGTTTATGGATTGGCAGGTTAACGGATTGAAAGGATTGTATGATCGTTGGAACCCGTGTTTTTTTTTGCTG